TATATGCCACTTGACAATTCATATAATTTGTAAAATGTACACTTAACTCTAAACTCGCCAAAATGTAATTTAGCCACCGCCTATGATTGGAAACCAGTGCCATAAATTCTAAGCATCAAATAAGGGGTGAGTAGTTTAGGTATAGATCAAGTATGAATTATATTTAGTATTTGATATGAAAATTTTTTAGTATAGTTTTTTAGAATTGGTATTTACTAAAATATTTGAAGAGCTATATTTAGTATTTAACTCAATATGCATTAGGTAACTTATGAGTATATATTTATATACTTAAAAAAAGAAAAGATACAAATAAGATACTATTGTTACATATGTTATGTGTTTGGTTTACATTTTATTATTTAACAAGTTGTTATTGTTGTATGTATGATTTATTTAGCTTATAAGTTTTACTTAACTTTAAAAAAAAAAATTTTTGTATTTTATTTCTTAAATTTTTAAAAATTATTTTTATTATATAGATATTAAATATAAAGGTTAATGCGTATCAGTTCTAATTTTTAAAAAAAAATTAAAGTCCCAACTTATATTTAGAAAATAAAATCTTAATTTAAAATTCAAAAATTCAATTAATTTTTAAATCTAAATATTAATATCTAATAAGATAAAGTTTTAAATTTTAAATTGAATTTAATTAAATAAAATGATATATTTTAAGATTATGACTTTAATTTTTTTAGAGTGAGGATTGATATATCTTTTTCTCTTAAATATAATAAGTACATATAAAATTTTAATTATATAAGTAACAAGTAAGTTAAACAAATTGATCAAATAAATCAGATAAATAATTCTAAACCCTACATTTGTTATGTAATTTAATATTTACAAATATATTATTTTTTATCTATTATTTAGTTATTTTTTCTATAATATAAATATAATATTTATTTAAAAAATAAAATACTTACAGATAACAAACTTGTACTAACGCGGATCCCAAATCCAAACAAAGGACAATTGTCGAGGGTGCCCGACAGCTCTGCAAATATTTGGGCCTTACAAGCATAGAGCCTGTCGGGCTCCAAATGGACAAAACAAAACCCATCCTCCAAGTTCGATCCCTTTTGAAAATATTCGATGCATTGAGGACCGTTAGCTTTGATCTTTGCTCGTTTTGCTCCCTTGAATCCTGGTTCCAGGTGGTGCGACGATGCAGGGAGGACCATCCGGTATCGGCTACGGTCTCAAGTATCAGGTCAACACAATTCCTCTGATTTTCAATCTTCCTGACTCAGAATTGATCGTAATATCCTAGTTCGTGGTCGCGGGCCAGATGCATTTCCGATGTCAAGGCAGACACAGATCACACCAGCTTCATCACCGGAACTCTCAGCCTCAAAGAAGACAACGAGGTTCTACTTGATTTATACTTCAGTTTCTCAATCGGAGTGCTGCATTTGGTAATTCGAACTGAATGTGTTGGTATCTGGCAGGTGCATTTGATTCGGTTCTCTTCCGACGGAACGGAGCTCATATGTGAGGGCTTGTTTTCGCATCCTAATGAGATCTGGGATCTCGTTTCGTGCCCCTTTGATCAACGCATGTTCTCTACTGTTTTCTTTACTGGTAACTGTTATTTTTCTGTTTTTTTATGTTTTTTTAATCATTCAATCACCCATGTCTATTTGGACTTGATCTCTGGATATTGTTGCATTAGATTTTCACTGCTTTTGACAATTCTACAGCTTCGTTAGATCTTTAGCTGCTAGAAACAGCAAAATTGATGCAAAACTTCACTTAGTATGTCATTGGATGTTTTTATAGAATTTTTGTCAAAGCTGTGCTGTTGCTATGTATTGGAATATGTGGAATCCAGTTTTTGTAACTCAATTCCATGATTTCTATCCTATAATTCCATCTTGTAGGAAAATTGTTTAATTATTTAATCATCAGGGTGACGTTTATCAATTCATGTTCAGTTTTGACATGTAGGCATGTCATTTTTGGTTTCTGTTAGACTTGTGTGAAATTCAGTGGGTTAAAAGATAAGGGATTTTTGTATTTGCTTTGAGCAACGTAAAAAAAAAAAATGATGGGGGACTTTTCAATACCTTTTCCATTGTTGAAGGTGAATAAGATGGGGCAGCAAGAGTAAAGGTATAAATAAGGATTTCAACTAAATATCTGAAAGGCTTGTGATGGAGAGTTGGTGATGGACAGCGAATTAAGTTTTGGCAGGACATTTGGGTGGGTGACAAGCCTTTATATGAAGTTGCTCGTTCCCCAGTGTTACTTGCTCTTATGAATACCCTAGTTTCACACGCCATTAACCCAACTAGAGACTGGGACGCGGATTGGCTTCGAAATCTCCTCCCTAACAATGTAGTTGCTCAGATCTTGGCAACTCCAATTCCAGCATTTCAACAACAAGAGGATACAGTGTTTTGGAATGGCTCACCAGATGGTACTTTCTCTGCTAAGTCGGCTTTCGAACTGTTGCAACAACAACATGTTGTTTTAACTCAGCAAGAAGAGAGTTGGGGGTAGATATGGAAATTACAATGCATAGAGAAAATTAAATTGTTTGTTTGGCTGCTTTGCAAAAACAGAGTGCTCACAAACAGTGTCAGATTTGCGAGACACCTTGCTGCAACTCCAATTTTCTCGAGATGCGAGCAGAGCCCAGAAACCCCACTTCACCTATTGCGTGATTGCTACCACTCACGTTTGTTCTGGGAAGCTGCTTCTTTGTTACCTCCTGACTTTTTCATGCTGGGCTTTAACGAATGGTTGTGGAAGAATGCACAAACTTCAGCAACTAGTGATGCTTCACGTCATAACTGGTCTACACTTTTCTTATCTGCCATTTGGGTGATCTGGAAGAATAGAAACGCTCTTATTTTTGACAATCAAAAAACTCCCCCCTATATCCTATTTCAACAGGCTTCCTCCTTAGCTAGAGACACAAGCTTGGGGTTGGCCACAAACATTCTTGCTCACCCTCGCCTACCTAGGTGGGTAAGATGGTTTCCTCCTAATTTCCCTTTCCTCAAATTGAATACAGATGGGGCAAGGAGTCAGGCATCGGGAAATGCTAGTGCAGGAGGTCTCATTCGAGATCATGGAGGGCAGTGGCTACATGGCTTTGCGATTAATATTGGGCCACAAACTAACTATATGGCGGAGCTTTGGGGTTGTCGCGCTGGCCTTCGGTTAGCTCTTGAGATGGGTCTTACCCACCTGGTCCTTGAAATGGATTCCTTGTTGGCGGTGCAGGCGATACTGGCAAGGAAAACCGGGGATGGCCCAGCTTCAATACTTTTGTTGGACATCTTCCACCTTGTAAATTCCTTTGAGGTTTGCACGGTGCAACACACTTTGAGAGAAGGAAACGCAGCAACTGATTACATGGCCTCTATTGGACAAACTCTCACCCAGGGTACTGGTTTTTTTCAATCTCCACCTCCGGGCATTAGGAGCATCCTTCATAAAGACAGCATAGGCACTTTGTTCCTCAGGACTTAGCGTTGTCTAGCTTCTTATGTACCAAAAAAAAAAAAAAATAAGGATTTCAACTTTGCATTTTTTTCTATTTAAAGATGTTAACTTTTTCAGTTTCTATATAAAGATGTCAACTTTCAATTTTTTTCTAAATAAGGATGTCAATTTTTAATTTTTTCTAAATAAGGATGTTAATTTTGTCAGTTTCTAAATAAGGATGACAACTTTCAACATTTTCTATTTAAGGATGTCAACTTTCAATTTTTTCTATTTAAGGATTAATTGAGTAGTGATGTTGACGTGGCTAATAGATTTTTTAGGTTAAATACCTGAATTGGTCCCTCAACTTTTATTTTTGAACCAATTCATCCTT